ACGGGATGAGACATCGATGAAACTGTAGGTTATCCGTTAAGCAACTACACTCAAGTATAGGAAGTGAGGAGGTCCGGCCAGGTACGGACGACGACGCGGGCCGCCCACGCGCTCCCCAGCGCGCTCCTTTTCTCACTCGAGCAGTAGATACAGCTCCGGTATACAGCGATACCAATGTCAAGGTATGGCAAGGCAGGCAGCAGGAGAGGCAAGTGTATAATGAGGCGGAGAGGAGCATATTTACTCCCCGCGATGCTCATGATGCTGCGCACGCGTGTCTGCAGGGGGCACATGGCTCCGTACTCGAATCGTAAATTTCCAAGACCGTTCACAATCTCGATAGGCACCGTGGGGAATCCCACTGGCGCCGCAGGGACGGCGACAATGCTCTGCTGAACGCCGCCTTCAGCGTCTGCAGCAGCTGCTGCTGCTTGTCTTTTCCTAGTTTTTGCTTGTCGTGCCCGCTCACATATATCAGCTCTAGATGGTATGTCGGCCGCCGCAGCCTCGACACCAAGCTCAGCCAATGCCTCCCTCCATACATCACTTCTCCGAAACTTCCGCGGGCGCCCTGAATCATGTGCGGCTGCGCTGGCAAAAGCGTCGAAGATGTCAACCTCGCTGATCTGGTGCGGGCCCGTGTATCGTTCTGGGCCCGCCTCTGCCATATTGCCCTCTGCCTCTCGCGCAGCGACGTCCCATGCGTCATCTACCACGTCGGCCTCCATGGCCGTCGCCAGAATCTACATTACTGAGTCTGAGAAAGACGATAGGGCATAGCAGGGAAGTTTGAGCCAAAACGGCGATCGGGCGTAATGGGCGATGGGGCATAATGAGCGATGGGGCACAATGGGCGAGAAGCCATATGGGGACGGGGGAATAGGGAATTAGGGGGCCAGGGAAGAACGACGAGGGAAATTGTAATATATTATGAAGGGAAGTACGAAGCGATTTCTTTTATACACCGCAACACCTCATTCACAAGCTCGCCAGAAGCGCCTCCCGAAAATTGTATGCCCGAGGCGCGCCAGCAACATTGAATGCCTGAGGCGAACCAAACGCGCCGGAAGAGGGAGAAGAAGCGGAGCGGGGAAGAGGAAGATAACGCGTGAGCAGCGAGTGCGCCAGCAATGGCTGCTACGAGCGATCGCCGCTTAAAGCTTTGGCCATGGCCAGAAGTCATAAGCCACTGGCGAATGGTGGAGGAGGAGGAGAGGAAGAGGACAACCACAAAGGAAAACATGACCTCGCGAATGCGTAGACCATCCAGGGCATAGCCCGGGGTACCCGCACAGAGGTCCCACGCGAGCGGGGGAGGAGGGCGGAAGGAGGAAGGCAGAGAAAAGGTAAGAGGAACAGACGGGAAAAGGCACACTCACAGCCGACAGGCTCCATGCGCAGGCAGCAGCGCAGGCAGGACACCCGCCCAGCACGGCGGTGGCCTGCACAGACAACTACTGAACTAGCGGCTAGCTGGCGACAGGAAGCACCGCAGCGCCTGATGCAGGCGGACGCCCCAGGGGCGGCAGAGAGCCAAGCCCGCGCAGGGAGGCCCGGGGTCGACTGACCGCGGCCGCGGGGAGGCCGAATTAACATGCATAAGAAAGCTTCACGACATGCCTCACGTGCAACAGGAGGAGGAGGGAAGAAGAGAAGACAGAGCATCTACAGTGCGCCGTGTGGCCAGATTTGGCCAGCATCACCGCCGAAAAGCGAAGGAAAATGCCCAGCGGGCCTGGAGTGGCGCGCCAATCCGCAAGCTTTCACTTCGATCCTCCCCGGCGCCCCCCAGCGCATCCGGTCGTGCTTCTCGCGGGCGCGCCGCATGGCCTCAACGTGATGTTCGAAGTCCTTGTGGCGCAGCTAGTAGCGCCAGTCGTGCAAACCCTGGTGCATGGTCAGCATAGGTCCTACAGGGCAGAACCTGGAGGCGAACAGAAACAACCCCAGGAGACGAACCAAGGAAGCCCCCACCGAAAATCCCAAGACACCCCAGACCCAGACGCCAAGCCCCAGAAGGCCAAGTTGAGAGCCCCATCCGTCCTGGGGCTGCCCTGGCTGCTGCGGCTGTGGGAGCTGGGTGGACCGCGTCGTACTGTTGGTACCCGATGCGCGGGTCGCAGTGGACGTCCGAGTTGTGAGAGCATGTTCCCGTCGTGCTGGTGACCGCAGTAATGCAGGAGCCCGTCGAGCAGCGTGCTCGTGTAAGCGCTGGCGTTGGTGCCGACGCTGGCGCCGGAGTTCATGCTGGCGTCCGTGCTGGCGTCGGCGCTGGTGTAGGCGCTGGTGTTGGTGCCAGTGCCATCGCCCTGTTCGTGCAGGCGTCGGTGCTGGCATCGGTGTAGGCGTCGGCGTTGCAGATAGTTTGCGCACCGGTTAGCTGGGCAGCTCACCAGTGCGCTGCGGCCTGGCGGCGGTGCTGGTGTAGGCGCTGGCGTTGGTGCTGGCGTATGCGCCAGCATTGATGTTGGCGCAGTGGCTGACACTGGCTCTGGCGTAGGCGCTGGCGTTGGTGGCGGCGTAAGCGCATTCGTTGGTGCTAGCGCCTGTGCGCACTGGTTAGCTGGACAGCTAACCAGTGCGCTACGGTCTGGTGGCGGTGCTGCATTAGGCGCTGGCGGTGGTGCTGGCGCAGGCGCCAGCGTTCTTGCTGGCGCCAGTGCTGGCGTCGACGGCGGTGTAGTCGCCGGCGTTGGTTCTGGCGAAATCGCAGGCGTTCAATGCTGGCGTCGGTGCCAGCGTCGGTGCTGGCGTACGCGTCGGCGTCTGTGCTGGCGTCGGTGCTGACGACGGTGCTGGTGTAGGCGTCGGCGTTGGTGCCAGCGCAGGCGCCTGCATTCGTGCTGGCGTCAGTGCTGGTGTCTGTGCTGGCGTCGGTGCTGATGGAGGCGGCGGCGTTGGTGCTGGCGTCCGGGATGCCATCGGCGCTGGTGTAGGCGCTGGCGTTGGTGCCGGCGCAGGCGCGCAAGTTCGTGCTGGAGTCGGTGCTGGCGTCGGCGCTGGCGATGGAGCTGGCCCCATCGCAGGCGGTACTCGGTGCCGTGCCTATGGCCGTACCCGTCCGTGATCGTGATCATGGTGCTGGCGCTGGCGCTTGCACAGGCGGCGGCGTTGGAGCTGGCGGCGGGGCTGGCGTCGGTGCGGGGGTAGGCGCTGGCGTTGGAGCTGGCGCAGGCGTTGGCGTTGATGCTGACCTCAGTGCTGGCGTCGGCGCTGGTGTGAGCGCTTGGGATGGTGCCAACGCTGTGTGCCTTGTGGCACGGCTCCTGAATATTCTTCCCCCCCTCCGCTGTGTGCCGAGGCGTGGGAGGGAGTTTCGGCCACGTTCGCAGGACAGCATTCCTCCTGTGATGACTGTCGGGGGAGTCGTTGCACGGCCAGTGTTGCTGGCGTAGGGCTGACGTCAACACTGGTGTAGGCGTTGACGCTGGTGCAAGCGGATCCGAAGGCGTTGATGCTGGTGTCGGTGCTGGCGTCGGTGCTGGCGAAGGCGCCGGCAATGGTGTTAGCGGGGAGGGAAATTTTGGAACGGCGTTCCAAAATCGGCTTTGGGCTTGACGAGGCGTTGGCGTTGGCCTTTGCGCTGGCGTTGGCGCCGGCGTTGGTGCTGGCGTAGGGGCTGACGTCGGCGCTGGTGTAGGCGCTGGCGTTGGTGCTGGCATCGGCGAAAGCGTTGATGATGCTGGCGTCGGTGTTGGCGTCGGTGCTGTCAAAGGCGCCACCGTCGGTGCTAGCGGGGAGGGGATTTTGGATGGGGACTCGGAGTTAGTGCTGGGACTGGTTCTTGAAAGCCTTGGGAGTGGCAGCGGGATCATGGTCGGGCGCCCTTGTCTTGGTCAGCTTTGTCCCCGTGGTGCTGCTGGCGTTGGTGCTGGCGTGGGAGCTGGATAGGCCGTCGTTGGTGCTGGCGTTGGCCCTGTCGGCATAGGCGCCGGCGTTGGTGCTGTCGTAGGGGCTCCTGGCACTGAAATTCGTGACATCTTCGTTGCGTCTGAAGTTCCTGCGGAGCCGGTGCAGGAGTCTTTGGGGCGTTGCTGTATTTGTATTCGCTGCCACTGTGTTGCGTCGGCTCTGTAGAGTAACGGTCTGGACGTGCCGAGTCTGCCAGGGAGGGGGAAACGTAACGAATTTCCCCCCCCTCCGCGAAGTGGTAGATGGCACACTGGTTATCCCATGGGGTGGGATAAGACGCCTGGAGTAGGGTTTATTCGACCGCGGGTCGAATGCAGGTGTAGGCGTGGCATTGGTGTCGGGTTTGGCGTCGGCGTTGTTGCTGGCGTCGGTGCTGGCGTCGGTGCTGGTGTAGGCGTTGGCGTCGGGGAAGGCATAGGCGCAAGCGTGGGTGCTGTTGTCGGTGCTGGCGTCTGCGATGGCGTAGGCGCCGGCGGTGGTGCTGGCGTCGGAGCAGTGGAGCCGGAGCTGGGGATAGAAGTGGTGGGTGGCGCACTCGTTATCCCATGGGGCGGGATAAGACGCTGGGAGCAGGGTTTATTCGACCGCGGGTCGGATGCAGGTGTAGGCGTTGGCATTGGTGTCGGGTTTGGCGTCGGCGTTGGTGCTGGCGTCGGTGCTGGCGTCAGTGCTGGTGTAGGCGTCGGCGTCGGTGAAGGCATAGGCACAAGCGTGGGTGCTGTTGTCGGTGCTGGCGTCTGCGATGGCGAATGGGCCCGCGGTGGGGATGGCGTCGGAGCTGCACGTCGGAGCTGGGGCGTAGGAGCTGGGGATAGAAGTGGTGGATGGCGCACTCGTTATCCCATGGGGTATGGGGTGGGATAAGACGTTGGGAGCAGGGTTTATTCGACCGCGGGTCGAATGCAGGTGTAGGCGCTGGCATTTGTGTCGGGTTAGGCGTCGGCGAAGGGAAGTACGAAGCGAAGGAGGCACTGTAACATTAAGGCAAAAGAGATATAACGAAATATTGTGAAGAACTACGATGGTGAGGTATGGTGAGACGAAAGTGGGATGACGAGACATGTTCGCACCCCATGGCCACTCTGCACCTATATTTTTGCATGGGCTATGTGAAATGGGCTCAGGTAGTGTTTTTGAAACTTTTTGGGGGTATCGATAGGTTTCCCCAGAACAGGCTCCTTTGCTGAAGTTGATGTCTTGAGCTGTAAGACCTGTCGCGCTCGCACATACACTGGCATGATCTTGCTGAAAGGCCCACGAGGGTCCCTGCCATAATGTTGGTCTGGACGTGGTGCCGCGAAGCGCTGTGGATACTGCTGCAGCAACTCGTTGGTGAAGTTGATGCAGAGTTGCTCGAACGAGTTGGTCTCGAAAAACTCGAACCCGAAGATGTCCAGGAGGCCTATGAAGGAGGACTGGCAGGATTCTGGCTCGCCTCGACGAAACAAACTGTATACACACGAACCTTCGGAGGTCTGCGCTGGTTTCTTTGCGCTGGACCCCCCCCCTCCCCGGCGCGCATCCAGAGCCAGGGGCGGCGCCAGAGACACCGCCAGAGGAGCCCAAGCGCCGACCCGAGAAATCCGCGCAGACCTCCGACAATGTGTGTATGCTTTTGTGCCACATGCTCTTCCTTCGTCGCCCGCCGCGCCCCCCGCCTCCGCGGCGCGGACGGCCTCGTTGAGGCGCCGCACCAGGAAGCCGAAGACCGCGCCGTACAGGTGGCGCGCCAGGGCGTCCCGGCTGTCGGAGGCCTTCGCGACGGGCAGCGGGCTCGTGATCGTGCCCCCGTCGCGGCCTGGCACCCTCCGCGTCTGCCGGCACAGCGCGCCCTCGAGCCTCGCCGGCTCCACCCCCAGCAGTCGGCACGCGTGCGCTAGCGAGGCCATGGAGGCGCCCCGCCGCACGGCCTCGGACCCCTCGGAGTTGCCCGGCGGCGCGGCGAAGGCAACGTTGCCCAGGTGCAACACGGCCATCAGCGCGCCGAGCACGCCCGAGATCTCGGGCTCCGAGACGCCGTGCGCCCGCATCGCGCCCAGAGTCGCGGCGAAGTCCACCGACCTTAGCCGCCCCGATGCCTATACGACCACCCTTCGGGCGCGAAGGAGGCTGAGTGGGGGGAACCAACTCACGACAACTGCGATTACTGTGATGGTGTCGATGGTGACGATACATGATGACGTGCTTGAGCCAAACTGCTGTAATGATGGTGGTGGGGGTGATGGTACTGCTATCTGCCTCGGCGATGCTGGGATGATGACGATGATGGTGATGGTGATGCTGATGATGATGCTGATGATGGTGACATTCGAAAGCCGACAGCCATCGGAGAACCCTCCAACAACCATCTGGACACTGGCGAGACAACCGCGGTACGAGCACGGGATCATTGAGAGACCATTGGGGCACCACTGGGACATCATAGGGACACCATCGAAACACCATCGGGAGGAACACCTCAAGACGCTGCGGGGGCAAATAAATGACACCATCGGGACACCATCGGGGCACCATCGGAACAACATGTGATCACCATCGGGACACCATCTGGACACCGCCATGAGAATATGCTGATCTCACTATTGATATCACCATCGGCTACTCTATCACTCTATCGGTCTCACTATCGGGTCTCACGATCGATCGATCTCACTATCGATCGGTCTCATTACCCGTCGATCTCACTACCTACTTATCTATCTATCGCACGGGTCAACCATCGGGACGACCATCGGGGCACCATGAGGACACCATCGGGACACCACCTGGACACCATCGGGACACCATCGGGGCACCATGGGGAACACCATCGGGACAACATCGGGACACCATCAGAACACTATCGGGACACCATCGAGACACCATCAGGACACCATGTAGACACCATGTGGACACCATGGGGACACCATGTGGACACCATGGGGACACCAAGTGGACACCATCGGGGCACCATCGGGACACCATCGGAACATCATTGGAACACCATCGGGACACCATCGGGACACTGTCTAGACACCATCGGCACCATCGGGACACCCCCCGGCCACCGCCAGCCAACCAGGGGGCACAACATCTCTTGGCCCAGTTTGCCCTAGCCACGGCGGCTTCACTCTGCTCGCCCGCCCACGCAGCTTCGCCTCGCCCGCACGCAAGACACGAACGCGAAACCGAAACCGACTTCCCAGTGGGGGGTCTCCATTTCACTTTGATCTCACCCCCCACCGTACGACGCAACAGGCAACCCGTAGCGCGTTGACACAGCACGTGCCGCATCAACACGCAACGCGTTGACACGGACGTGTTGAACAAGGTACGTGCGTCGCACTTCAAAACGGGCGTATCAAGGCAGCGAAGCCCCCGACTCGTCGCGCCCGTCGTCGAGCGTGACGCAGCGGCTGCGCCTCAGGTACTCGAAGTCCTCTGGCCCGAAGGCCGCCGCGCCCCCGAGGGACAGGCCGTCGCCCGCGGCCGGGCCAGCGGGTGCGTCGCGGGAGGCCGCCGCGAGGGCCTGATAGAACACGTGGAAGCTGCGCTCCCCCTCCTTCGGTGGGGTTCAACGGCAAGTTCGTGTCATGACGACCCCGGCGTTGGTTTCTGACACCGCGTGAACCGCTCAACCTCGAACGATGGACAGCCTTTCGATCGCCAGACCGTTCCATATGAGCCGATTCTGGGCCACCGCCTTCGCCCCACCTTGAACGCCCGCGCCCGGGTCACAGCCGAGTCGGCACGACACGAATCTACCGCAAAGGTATCCATGGCCCAATGCGTCTCCAGCATTTCGCTCCATTCTGAAGCTCGTGTGCCCTCTGGGCCTCGTGAGGGGTGCTCTGGAGGCAGAGGAGGCCTCCTCGGAAATCCGCTGATCTGGCGTGTGAGTTTGAAAATGTCTCAGCTACAGCCTACAGCCTAGAGCCTGAGCTTCAGCTCTTCTGGTAGGGGGGGGCCGGGTGGGCTCTGCCAGGGAAGGGGGGGAGAGGGGGGGGGATGAGTTGTGGTCCGCTCTCGGGGGGGGAGGGGGGCGGGGGGGGGGGGGGGCTTTTCTGGGCCCATGAGGGCCCCAAGACGAGCGAAGAGGGCCCCAAGACGGCCCCGGAAGCCCGCGAGACGCCCAAAGAGCGCTCCAAAACGCCGACGATGACCTCCAGACGGCCCAAGAGGCCGCCGCGACGCTCCAAGAAGCCTCCAAGAGGCCTCAGAAGAGGACCCTCAGAGGCCAAAACCATCAACTTTACGATGGTTTTGGAAGGATTCTGGCCTTCCCGCCTTTTCTGCTTCCCGACGCTCGAAGACGGCCCCAGAGGCCCCCAATATCGCCCCAAGACGGCCCAAGAGGCTCTCAAAATGGCCCCAAGACGGCCCAAGAGAGCTCCAAGACTGCCCCCAAAAAACCCAAGACGGTCCCAAAAGCTCTCAAGACGGCTCCAAGAGGGGAACCAGACGGGGAACCCGAACGGAAATTTCGAGCCCTCGGCCTCCAGAAGCCCCCAAGAGGCCCCCAAGAGAGTCCCAAGAGGGTCCCAAGAGGTCCCAAGAGGCCCCCAAGAGCCCCTTAGCAGGACCCAAGAGGCCGATAAGAGGCCCCCAATAGGCCCAAAAGAGGCCCCGAGGGTCCCCACAACGGCCCCCAGGATGCCTCAAAAGTGTACCCATGAGACCCCCGAGAGACCTACCACGAGATCCCAACGAACACTAAAGAGCCCTCCGACACCACCCAGGCACGGTGGCGGCATTTGCTGAAGGCCAATACATAATCGTAAACGTCGCCGTCATCGTCATCATCATAATCAGCCTCCTCTTCCTCCTCCTCCGACCGTTGTCGTCGTCATCGTCCATCCCAACAATAGCGTCAAAAGCGCCCCGGATCGGCGGCACTGGCCGGAGGCCACTACAATCCTGGGAAATGGATAACAATATTCTAGTTCGCGCGCGCGGGGCCGCCCCTGGGGTCCCTGGACGAAGAATACCCCGGCAAGTCCCGGCAAGGTCCTGGCAAATCCCAGCAAGGTCCCGGGCAGGTCCCAGCAGGCTCCCAAGAGCGTTGCAGGAGCGCTTCAAGTGGCCTCCAGGAGAGCTCAACGTGGCCCGAGACGGCCCGATGACGCCAACGATGGCCTCCAGACAGCCCAAAGCGCCTGCAAGACGCCTTCAGAAGCCTCCAAGAGACCTCCCAAGAGAACCCACAGAGGCAGAAATTAAATATTTTGCTGTAGTTCTTTTGATGTGGCGTTCTCGCCCTGGGAGCTTACCGGCGCTCCAAGACGGCCCAAGAGGCTTCCAGGATCGCCCCAAAAGGGACCCCTCACGATTCCTGAGGGGGAGGGCGGGGTTCACTTCGTGGGGGGTAGGGGTAGGGTTCGCATGTGGCCCCCTAAGGGTCTGTTCTGGCCACGGCGAGCCTCGGCTTCGAACAGGCCCTCGACCCAGACATACAGGAACGGCCGAAAGCCAGAGCCCCTCCTGAGCCCGAATGGGTCCTCATTTCAACGTCTTGGCTGTCCGCAAAAACCTGGCTCCATCACCCCGGCGACGCCAACATACCTAGGACCCACGGGGGGCCATCTGAAGGAAAGCATTCCCGGGGCGCGCCGAGGAACCGAGGGGGAACGGCTTCCGCGGAAGAACGATATCCTTGGCGGAGGGGTCGGGCACGGGGGTTACCCCTGCCTAACATTCCGGAAGAGAAATTAACTCCCAGCCGCACTAGGGAAGTGTATTAGTATTGCTTGCACGCTATTGCGTCCTATATCCGAGGTCGACATTCGATACGGTTTCCTTATTTCTTGATCGCGATGCTATTCTGCTTCTGTACTCCCACGTCGCGATCCTAGTGTTTCCTTCTTCATGAGTAGCGAGTGTATACTGTTTCCATGAATGCCTGAATCCCAATTCGATAAGACTAGCTGTACTGCAGGACAAGGTGCACTCTAGGAGCAGCTTCGCGCCAGTACATGATGGTTCCGATTGCACTCACGTGCCATGTGCACTCTAGCCAGAGGGGCTCATGGGTTCCGCGCGCGGAAGAAAAAATAAATCCGCCGATCCGGCTTGTGAGTTTCAAGGAGTCTCAGCTACAGCCTCGAGGCTGAGCCTCAGCCTCTGGGGGGGTTGCCGGGGTGGCTCTGCCGGGGAAGGGGGGGTGGGGGGGGGGGGGTGCGAGTTTCCGGCGGATGCGTTTTTTGACACCCCTCACAAGGATCGTGGCCTCCGAGGGGGTTCCGAACTCGAGTACCACCCCTCCCGCACCAAGAGGCTCCGAGGAGGCCTCCAAGAGGCCCCAAGGGGCGCAGAAGAGGCCCCCAAGAAGCCCCAAGAGGCTCCCAAGAGACCCCCAAGAGGCCCTCTAGTGGCCCCAAGAGGCCCAAGAGGCCCCCAAGAAGCCCCAAGAGGCGCCCAAGAGGCCCCCAGAAGTCCCAGCCAACCACGAGATCCCAACCAGCATCCATGAGGCCTCTGACCCACCACCCACGCACGGTGGCGGGATAGGCCGACGGCCACTGGATCCGCCGCCCCCTGCTTGCAGGGGTGCACGGCGTGCTGGACGAGCTGTTAGGTTTTGGTTTTGGTTCTTTTTCCAAAAGAACTCTCCAGTGGGCTCCGGCAGAACCCGCCACCGTGCGCAAAAACGGCCGTTTCGCTCGGGACATCCTCAACAAATCGCGAAGATGGCCCAAGATGGCCTCCAAGTCCGCCCGAGATGGTCCAAGACGGCCTCCAAAACGGCCCAAGAGAGTCCAAGACGGCCCAAGACGGCCCAAGAGGCCCCCCAGAGGCCTCCCAGACGGCCCAAGAGGCCTCCAAGAGGTCCTCCAGGAGAGTCCGAAGAGGCCAAAATCATTGATTTTCCCTTGGTTTTTGAAGGATTTTGGCATTTGCGCCTTTTCGGCTCTCCGACGGCTCAAGACGGCCCAAGAAGCCCCCAAGATCGCCCAAGAGGCCCCCAAGAGAGCCCCCTGATGGCCCAAGTGGCCTCCAAGATGGCCCCTAGAGGGCCCCAAGACGGCCCAAGAGGCCTCCAACACGCCCAAGATGGCCTCCAAGACGCCCAAGATGGCCTCCAAGACGGCCCTGGAGCGCCCCAAGAGGGTCCCCCGTTGGCCCAGACAGGCCCCCAAAACGGCTCCCGACGGCGTCAGACGTGCCAGGAACCCACCAAGATGGCCGAAGTTGGCTCGAAGCTGGCCCAAAAGGGCCCAAGAGGCCCCCAAGAGGGCCTCCAGGAAGGCCAAAAGATGCCAAAATCACTGATTTTCCCAAGGTTTTTGATGGATTTGGGCATTTCCCTTCTTTCGGCCTTCCGACGGCCCGAGACGGCCCAAGAGCCCCCAAAGATCGCCGAAAGATCGCCCAAGAGGCCTCCAAGACGGCGACGATGACCATCAAGACGCCCACGTGTTCCCCGAAGGCTTTCCAAACCGATTCGGGGAACACATGGTCCGATGGCTTGGCAGGTCTGGCCTCAACGTTCGGCCACATAGGCGCTTCCACAAAGGCAGGGGGCGGCGGTGATTCGCCGTAGGCGTCTTCGATCCGCCGCCCCCTGCTTGCAGGGGTGCACGGCGTGCTGGACGTTTCAGGTTTTGGTTTTGGTTCTTTTTCCAAAAGAACTCCCCAGTGGGCTCCGGCCCGTCCCGCCACCGTGCCCAAAAACGGCCGTTTCGCTCGGGACATCCTCAAAAAATCGCGAAGATGGCCCAAGATGGCCTCCAAGTCCGCCCGAGATGGTCCAAGACGGCCTCCAGGACGGCCCAAGAGAGTCCAAGACGGCCCAAGACGGCCCAAGAGGCCCCCCAGAGGCCTCCCAGACGGCCCAAGAGGCCTCCAAGAGGTCCTCCAGGAGAGTCCGAAGAGGCCAAAATCATTGATTTTCCTTGGTTTTTGAAGGATTTTGGCATTTGCGCCTTTTCGGCTCTCCGACGGCTCAAGACGGCCCAAGAAGCCCCCAAGATCGCCCAAGAGGCCCCCAAGAGAGCCCCCTGATGGCCCAAGTGGCCTCCAAGATGGCCCCTAGAGGGCCCCAAGAGGGCCCAAGAGGCCTCCAACACGCCCAAGATGGCCTCCAAGACGCCCAAGATGGCCTCCAAGACGGCCCTGGAGCGCCCCAAGAGGGTCCCCCGTTGGCCCAGAAAGGCCCCCAAAACGGCTCCCGACGGCGTCAGACGTGCCAGGAACCCACCAAGATGGCCGAAGTTGGCTCGAAGCTGGCCCAAAAGGGCCCAAGAGGCCCCCAAGAGGGCCTCCAGGAAGGCCAAAAGATGCCAAAATCACTGATTTTCCCAAGGTTTTTGATGGATTTGGGCATTTCCCTTTTTTCGGCCTTCCGACGGCCCGACACGGCCCAAGAGCCCCCAAAGATCGCCGAAAGATCGCCCAAGAGGCCTCCAAGACGGCGACGATGACCATCAAGACGCCCACGTGTTCCCCGAAGGCTTTCCAAACCGATTCGGGGAACACATGGTCCGATGGCTTGGCAGGTCTGGCCTCAACGTTCGGCCACATAGGCGCTTCCACAAAGGCAGGGGGCGGCGGTGATTCGCCGTAGGCGTCTTCGATAAATGCTGAGTGAGAGGAGGGGAGGGAAAAAGAGAGGAGGGACGAGGGCGAAGAAGGATCACATCAGTCGGAGCGCCCCGGATCGGCGGCACTGGCCGAAGGCCACTACAATATGTGCGCCGCCCGGGGTCCCAAATTTGACGGGTCGCCGCGAAAATGGATCCCCCGCGGGAGGAAGAAACATCCGGCCGTGTGGTCGGGTCGGCTGCACGTAAGAGTGACCCTGGGCAAGAGTGACCTTTGGTGGGCGTTCTTTTAGGGGGCGCGAGGAGGCCAGGATGCCAAACACAAGCGCGCAAGACGCTACCATCGCACAGAGCGCGGCGATCGGGGGACCCCACCTGAGCGCGCACCAAAGGTCACTCCGGCGAAAGGTCACTCTTACGTGTAGTCGATTGGGGACTCGGACTCGGACTCGGACTCGGCCTGCTTCATGCACCGCGGGGGTGCTGCAGGGTGGGGCCGAAGCGCCCAACAAATGCAAATAACAGTGAAACAAATTCAGCATATAGTGAGACTACAACGGACAATAACAAAATGCGTGACGAATGCAACTATGACCTGTGTACTCGCCGGCCGGCCGCTCATGTAATCGATTGGGGGGGTCAGGCATATGTCGCGGGGGCGACCCGGCTCCTGCTGCGAAGTGACCCGGACCTTCTCCAGCAGGTATGTGTGCGTGCGGGCGCCGACCAGCCTCGGCGGGCAGGCCAGGGCCGCTCCGCCGCTCGGCCGCCGCCAGGAGGCCCCGCGCCCGAACTGGAGCTCGATGAACTTGCCGAAGCGCGAAGAGTTCTCCAGGGGAACAAACAGTGACACACGCGTAAACCTTCGGAGGTCCGCGCAGATTTCTTGGATCTGTGCCAGAGCCCCCAGGGCAGCGTCTCCGGCGCCGACCCTGATGCGCTCCGCGCGCCAAGCAAGGGGAGTCCAGCGCCGATCCAAGAAATCCGCGCGGGCCTCCGACAAATTATGCTTACGTCTTTGTTTGTTCCTCGGTTCTCGTTGCGTAGCGTCTTCGCATTGCCCATCGCCTCCAGCACCGGGATCGACTGCAGCACCTGCCGCTCGACGTCCGACATCGACGACTCCGCCCCGCCGCCACCAGCCAGCGCCAAGAACCGCATCACGAATTTGGTGGTCTCGGTCTTACCCGCGCCGCTCTCCCCGGAGACCAGCACCGTCTGGTGGACCCTTCGGTGCCACACGCCGTAGTAGGCGGCCTGGGCGACCCCGTAGATGTGGGGAGCGGAGCTGCCGCTCCCCGAGGGGGCCGCCGCTGCTGCGGCCACCTCTTCTGCGGGGGGCTCCGCGAAGCGCGCCAACTGTTCCGCGCCGTAGAGGCCCGGCAGCTCCCGGAACGGGTTCACCGCCAGGAGCACCGGGCCCGTCAGCGTGTACACCAGGCCCTCCTTGAAGCGCAGCTGCAGCGCGTGCAGGATGGCCGGCTCGTGCAGCAGGGGCAGGTGGCCCAAGTCGCTGCAGGACAGCGCTCCCCCTGAGCATCGTTTAGCCAATCCCCTATTCCTACTGGTGTAGCCTTGGCCCCACTGGCCGACTTGCCAAACCCGGTCGGGATACATGCATGTTCAATCGGGTTTCGCGTGGCCTATCCCAACCTGGGAGGGTGGACTAGTCTGAGGTACCATGGCCCAGCGTCGAGGAACTACAAATGGCAAAGACATCAACTGATGGAGGTCCGCGCGGATTTCTCGAACCGGCGCTGGACTCCACTGCCTGGCGCGCGAAGCGCGCGCGGGGCGGCGCCACCAAGGGGCTCCAGCGCTCCCCAAACAAATCCGCGCGGAATTCCGAAATGTTAGGTTGTTGTCATGTGCTGTTCCTCGACAGTGGGGGTCCGTCCGTCCGGCGGTGGCTCGCGCTGTCCCGCGGTGTCCCGTGGTGTCCCGTGGTGTCCCGTTGAGTGGAATCGATAGTGAGATCGATATTGAGATCGATGTGGCGCCCCGAGGTGTCCCGTGGTGTCCCAAAAAATCAAATCGATAGTGAGATCGATAGTGATCGACAGGTGTCCCGTGGTGTCTCGTTGAGTGAGATCGATTGTGAGATTGATAGTGAGATCGATCGTGAGATCGATCTCGTGCCCCCAGGTGTCCCGTGGTGTCCCGAAAAGTGAAATCGATAGTGAGATCGATAATGAGATCGACAAGTGTCCGTGGTGTCCCGTGGTGTCCCGTTGAGTGGAATCGATAGTGAGATCGATGTGGTGTCCCGACGTGTCCCGTGGTCCGATGGTGTCCCTTTGAATGAGATCGATAGTGAGACCGACAGTGAGACCGATCGTGAGATCGAGAGGTGTCCCGCGGTATCCCGTGGTGGCCCGTGGTGTCCCGTTGTTCCCCGTGGAATGAGATCGATAGTGAGATCGATAGTGAGATCGACAAATGTCCCGTGGTGTCCCATGGTGTCCCGTTGAGTGAGATCGATCGAGTCAGATGTTGGTCCCCCCCCTCTCGCCCCCACACAACCTCCTTATCACCCGAAGGGTGGTCGTATAGGTATATACGCTAGAACCATCGCGCGCTTCGCGCGCGCCCAAGTTCTAACTAGGCTTGATGGGCGAACACATGGAATATCATCCTTGTCGTATCTTGCATCCAAAGACTCGCTTGGAGGCCCTGCGCAAGCCTCGGAATCGCATAGAAGGGGAACCGCGGAAACGCAAACATCATTAATTGCCGCTCGGCATTCAACGATTTGGGGCCCTCGAAGGCTTCCTTTTTTTTTTGGGGGGGGGGGTTCTTCAGAGGCCTTAAGTGTGGTCAAGTGTGCAAGAATAGACAGAGGGCGAAAACGGAATGGTGGGGTTTCCCTTTTTTCTCAAGTTGTAGTGCATGGGCTGTGGGTTAGACGTTTTCTGCAGGCAGGCCACGGTCTGTTGGGATGCCTCTCGGGGTCTTCGTGCAAAAATAAGCAGGGGGTGAGTTTGCAAAAAAGGAATTCGAAAATGTCAACAATGGTTTCAGGGGCAGCCAAGAGGACACGAAGAGAATCCAAGAGAGTGCCAAGACAGCGTCAGCGAGTTCAACAGCATTCCCGAAACATTTGTGCATGTGGCCCCGAAGTCTTGATGGGGCTCGAGGAGGAGGATAGGGAGTAGGAGTCCCAACTTGAGAAAAAAAAGGAATCTCTGAAATCCGTTTCTTTTTCAAATTCCTCGGTCTTGGAACGTTGGGGGCCAGAAAACGTGAGAAGGCGAAACCATTACACAAAAACAATTGGAAAGTAACGATTGCACCCTCTTCGGGCTCTCTCGGGACGGCTCTCGAAGCTCTCTTGGGCTGTTTTGGGAGCCTCGTCGGTTTTTGGGGCCTCTCCGGGGTCTGGGGTGTGTTGGAAGCCTTTGGGGGGTCCCCGGGTCCTCTCGGAGGTCTCTGGCGGCCTCCTGCTCCCGCTCTTGGGCTCATCTTGGGCCTGGTCTGGGGTGGTCTGGAGCTGTCTGGGGCGCCTCTTCGGCAATCGTGGGGCCGTCTTGGCCCGTCTTGGGGCCGTCTTGGGGGCGTCTTGGGGGCCTCTTGGGCGGTCTTGGTGCGGTCTTGGGGGCCTCTTCGGCCGTCTTGGAGCGTTGGAAGCATGAAATGGGGAGAAGGCCAACAACCCGGGAACAAAACAATGACAATTTACAATTGTAGGTTCTCTGGGCGCTCTCGGGAGGCCTCTCGGAGCTTTCTTGAAGTCTCTTGGAGGCCTCCTGGGAGCCTAGAGAGCCGCCCGAAAACTATCCTGGGTTCCTTGGGAGCGTCTTGGGCAATTCTTCTACGTTCTGGAAGTTTCTTGGGGTCGTCTTGGGCTGTCTTTGGGCATTGAGGGAGCTCCCCGGGAGGCCGGAAAGCGCGGTGCCAGGAGCGCAATCGAGATTTGAACGAGGTGGAGGACGCCCCGGGAGGGGGCCATGCGTAATATATATATATATATATATATATATATAATATATATATATATAATATATATATATAATATATAGATAGAGAGAGAGAGATATATATTATATGTATATTATTATATATATATTTAATATATTTTTTTTTTTTTTTTTTTTTTTTTTTTTTAAAAAAAAAAAAAAAAAAAAAAAAAACTACCAGTGCGGGCCCTTCGGGAGAGACGGAACGGCTGCAGCCGATCGGGAAAAAGGTAGCGAGCGTGACGAGGCCTTTCATTTCTTTTTCGCCCAGTTCGGGCCCACAACCCAAGGTGACTTGCGAAGACGGTTGGCCGAGCACCATAGACCATGGCACGCAGGTCCTCGCGATCGGCGAGCACTCGGCACCAACAGTCTGGCCAGACCTGAATTTAATATCCATTTCGCAAGCGTTTTTGCCGGGGCGGGCAGGGCGGGGTGGCAGAAAGGCTTGAGGATTCAAGGCAGCGGAAGGGGCAGGGGCAAGTGCACAAGCGTCGCGAGCAAATGCAATGCAATTGAAAGGGCCCCCGTACCAGCGCGGGCCCCTCGGGAGAGACGGAGCGGCGGCAGCCTATCGGGAAAAAATAAAAGGTAGCGAGCGTGACGAGACCTTTCGTTCCTTTTTCGCCGAGCTCAAGCCCACAACCCAGGGTGACTTGCGAAGCCGGTTGGCCGAGCACCAGAGACCAGGGCACGCCGGTCCCCACGATCGGCGAGCACTCGAAACCAACAGTCTGGCCAGACCTGAATTCAAGATCCCATACCGCCGGAGTGTGAATCCCATGACGTCTCCATTGGCTAGCCGAAGGAAATCTCAGGGGCGCGGTCAGGCCAAGAAAGGGAGCTGCCTGGCCTCTGCGCGCTTTGCCTCAGCCTTCACGGCCGCCGACAGTCGCCTGAAGGAGGCGAAAGCGCGGCCGCTCTTCTGGCACCCCTGGGCGGAGCGGAAGCCGGCCCATCTCCCGCGAGACTGGATGTCGGCAAGCGTGCGGGCCCCACGGAGGTAGTCCTCGGACGGCCCGCCATGCCGGGGGAGATGAGCCGTCACCTTGGAAGGAAGTCTGACCGCGGCGGCCGCCCTCTTCAGCATGCGGTTGTAGCTCGCGTAAGTGTGAAGGAACATCAAGCGGCCCTGCTGGGCCTTGTTGGCGGCCCTCGCCAAGGCGACGAAGGCCCCGGCCACGCCGACGCGGGACTGGCTGTCGATGAGCACGATGTCGTCCTGCAGGCCGGTCTTGGCGACCTATGTGCTGTCGCCCATGACCAGCGCGGAGGCGCCAACCACCGCGCCCATCTCGTTGTAGCCCGAGCCGGCGCTGGGCTGCGGCAAGAGGCAGCACGGGGGAGAAGGTCGAGCAGCTCGCCGGGCGAAGGTAGGTGGCAAACTGGAGCACCAGCCCTCGGGCGGCCTGCAGGCCCTCCTCGGTCTTGAGCTTCGTCGAGTACTCGGCCATCAAGCAAGCGGCCGCCCAGCGCAGCGGCTCCGAGGTGACGTCCGGCCCCAGCTTGTCCCAGCCAGAGAGGGCGCCCTTAGCCTTGGGGAAGACGTCGGGCGCCCGAAGCGAGACGCCGAAGCGGTGGGCGAGCGCGGCCAGCGTGTGGCGGGCCGCGACCTTGCTGCCAGCTCCCAGAAAGAGCTGCTCGAAGTACTCCTCCAGCACGGTGTCCACCAGCGGCAAATCCTTGCCCGCCCAGCAGTCGGCGGCGACCCCCATGGCGGCGGCAAAGGCCAGCACGCCGGCGGCGCAGCGCGCCTGCGTGGCGGGTCGCACCTGCGAGCGCCGAAGGAAGCCTGGCGCCGTGTCAGCAGGCGGGCGCCTGGCCAACGCGGCCGGCGGCCTGCCCCGGCCCCGCGCCCGGCCGCGCCCGCGGCCACGGGCGGCCGAGCTGGCGGCCCCAGCCCTCGGCGTCGCGGGGCCAGAGCGAGGCCCACTTCCGCGGGCAGCCGGGGCAGTCAAGGGACGGCTGGAGGCCGCCCAACTTTGCGGCACGGCGGAGCTCAGCCTCCCAATGGCCGGGCAACAGTGGATCACCATCCTGCCGCCAAGCGGCTGACGGCGCCGCGCGCCCCAGGGCTCGGGCGGCGCCGTGACAGGCGCCGGGCGGGTCGGCGCCAGCAAGGGTCGTGCGCCAGCACTGCTTGAGCCGCCCCTGGTGGTCGCGGACCTTGACCTTGCCCTGGAGGTACTCGTGAGCGTGGCCCCCAAGACATCGTCTGTCCAATGGCCCCAATTCCAGAACGTCCGACACAATGCGAGTAGGCTTCTGGTACGGGGCCCCGCAGCGACAGCAGTCGCACACCACGGAGACCCGTCCATGCTTGGCCAGGAACTCCCGGAGAAGCGCCCAAGAGCCGTGAGCCTCGTGGGTTCTCCAAGGACCAACGAACGCCACGTTGGACGCACAGTCGGAGAAGACGAAGCGTGACGTGAGCACAGCGCCGACCGGCACGAATGGCAGACGCATCATTGGCTCCACGACGGGCAACTGACCAGGGAGCGCAGGGGGTCCCGAAGTGCACAAACCAGACCTTGCGAGACACGATCCACTTGCGCACAACGGACTCGATGCCGGGCCGAAGAATGCCCCCCCAGCCCCCGAACTTGACGTCGATCGGGCAGGCGACGGCAAGTCCGAGATGCGCGAGAGCCCCCGTCCACCGAGCACAGCCTGGGAAGACCTCCAGAGCCGCGCTGCGTGCGCGAGGTCGAAACGCAGGAGCCCGAGCCGGCCCATCCGCGACGAACGGCGGCGGCGGAGGGGGCGGCAGCCCAGGGTGACTTCTCGCCCCGTTTCGGCCAGGCCGAGCGTCCAAACGGTATGTGCTAGCAGCAGGCGGACCGCGAGGCGTCGACCCGGCGCGCGTGCGCGGTCCGACGCGGCCGAGCGTCGGGGCAAAAGGCGGCCGACCGCGGCCCGTTCTTGCCGCAGGCCCCCTGCCGGCCTCGGCGGGGGCGGCGCGCGGGGCCGCGGCGGCCGCCTACGCTGGCGCAGCGCCGGTGGCGGAGGATCGGGGGCTTCGCCCCCTCTCCGACGGCCCCCGAGGGGGGCCAGGGGCCCCGTCCGCCGCTGAAGCCGCCGGCAGATCTGGCGCGGCGTCGGGGGCCGGGCGACGCGGCCGCGCCCGCGCGCCGCTGCCCGGGGCGGCACGCGCCCTGGGGCGCCATCCTCGACCCCGCGTCGCTGGGGTTGCGCCCCGTGTCGAGGTGGCGCCGCCGCCAAAAGATCCCGCGGGCGATCTGGTAGGCGGCGGCGCGCCGGCACAGGCAGGCGAGCCCGCGATCCACGGCTCGGCCCTTCTCAACAGAGATCGAGGAGCTCCGACATGTTATCCCCCAGGCTGAGCAGCCGGGAGTTGCGGCGGTCGACCTGCCGCGCAGCGCGCCGGGGCCCGCCCAAAGCGATGCGGCCCTCCAGCAAGTGGATGGGGCCGCCTCGCCGCCGGGCTCCCTCGACGATGAGCGACCAGCCCTTGGCGTCCACGAGGTCGTCGGGGACGGCGAGCCCCGCGGGCCTCGCGGCGGGCTGGAGCCGGCCCTTGAACGCGCCGCGGGCCCCTTCCGTGAAGCGCGGCGGGGGTGGCGCCCAAACGGCCGCCCCAGCGGCGCCCGGCGGCTCCCCCAGCACCCCTCCAGCGCCAGGAACCCAGCCAGGCGTGAAGGTGTCGTCGCGCGCCGGGTCGGGCCGCTTCTCGCCAGGGACGAACCTCCACCTCTCACGGGTGGCCGCCAGACCCCGCAGAAGCCGAGCGTCAGCGCGACAACGGTGAGGGGCGCGCCCGGCCTCGGAGGAGTCGGAGCACAAGAGCAGCGAGGACATCGGCCGGTCCAGGGAGACGACGGCCTGGAAGATGAGCCCCCTGAAAACTGGAATCTCCCGCCGAGCCGCGGCGGGCAGGGCAGCGGGGGGGCCCTGGCTGTGGCGATCCACGAGCCCGTACAGCAGGTAAAAGACCGACAGGGCGGGCCGAAGCAACCGGAAGTGCTGCGCGCAGTGCTCGAGGAACACGCGGATCTGCCAGGCCGCCCGCGGGGCCCCAGGTCGCTCGAGCTCCCGGCGCGCCAGGTAGAGCCGCCAGGCGCGATGGTCCGAGTGCCGGGGCCGCCGCCGCTTCCCATCGTACTGGACGCCGACGGTGGAGAAGTGCGTGGACGGCCCCTCAACATCGTGGCGCGCGATGCCGAGCGAGTCGAGCTTGCGCTTCGCTGCGCCCAGCGCGTCGCCGACGTCGGTGCTCGACAGGCCCTGGAACGAGACGTCGTCGACGTAGACCGAGCCAGTCGGCCGCGACGGCGCCGCGACAGGGGCAGGCTGCTTGTCAAGCACCACCCGGCGGGCGCCACTGGGCAGCGTGTCCGAGGCCCAGCGCGTGACGGACGAGTGCACGGCCCAGAAGAGCGCCCGCGGCCAGCCCATGGCGACCCCGCGGAAGACCGGGAAGACGAGCTCGTCGGGGTCGACCAGGGAGGGCCCCTCTGGGGACCAGATGTGGGCGACGCCGTAGTCCGCAGCCCTCTCCGGGAAGTCCACGCCGAAGTCCTCGGCAACCCGCTCCGAGAAGAACTGGTAGAACGAGTCCTGAAGGTCGAGGGAGGCCCCGAAGATCTGGGGCGGCGCGCCGTCGGCGCCCCGCCACCCAGCATCCGCAAGCGCCGCGTCGGACCAATCCTGGTCGCCGAGGGCGGCGGGGGCCCCCGGGGCGGCGTGCGGGGGGGCCCAGCGAGTGCGGTTGACGTCCCGAGCGTCGACCGCCAGGCGGATCCAGCCGCCCATCTTCTCGACGAAGAAGCACCCCACCCCTCGACCTGATGCGCCGGCGGAAGCCGACGAGGCCGCGGGCCGCGAGCCCGAGCAGGAACATCTTGCGGAGGCGGGCGTCGCTGGCCAGCCGCGCGCCCCAGTGCGGCGTGACCGGCGGCTCGAGCTCGAGGTCCTGCCCCACAACGCGGTCGGGCATGCGGATGTAGGCATCGGGGTCGCGGAAGGCGTCCGCGACAAACTTGGGGCAGACCTCCTCGACGTCGCGGGGCATGGCGGTGGGCTGCCAGAACTTGAGCTTGGACTCGTCGTGCGGGGCGACCTTGCAAGGCGCGCCACCGTAGAGCGAATCGGACTTGAGGAGCGCTCCACGAGGACGAAGGCCAGCCGGGCGAGGGCCGCACTCCGCCACGTACCTGCCGAGCTGCCGGGGGCGCGAGGACGATCGTCGCCAAGCCCGATGACCCAAGATCGGCTGCGCCGCCCGGCCCGCGGCCGGCCCAGCGCGCCGCGCTAGCGGCGAGGCTGTTGACCGATCGGACAGCCTCTCGAACACGGCGTTCGCGAGAACGACGCTGAAGAACCCGCTGGCGCAGGTACCGCGGCGCCCCGCTGAGGTCGACCGGCGGGCCAGGCCCCGGGACCGAGAGGGGCAGCGGGTCCCCGTGCGAAGATCGGGCGCCCGAAGCCATGGCGAGGAAGGCGATGAGGCGGCCGCGGCGGATGCCCCCGCGGCGGCAGCCGGGCTGGGCGGGGCGCCGCAGGGCGCCCGGCCCAAGGTGGGGGCCGACTGGCCCCCGGTCACTTGCTGCCGTCGGCCCCGCCGCCCTTGGGCCCCTTCGGGGGCGCCTTTGGCTGCGCGGCCGTCCTGTCGTCCTGCCATTGCCGATTCGCCTTCGTGGTAGGGCCCGAGCTCGGGCCTGATCGCCCACCCGGCCGTCGAACTCCGGCAGCACCATCCCGCCGGTGTCGTCGACGGCCGCGTCGAGGATGAGCTCGAGGCCCTCGAAGTCTGGGGCCCGAGGGTTTTTGCGCGCGGCGGCCTCCAGTTGCTTGAGCCGCCGGATGAGGTACTCCGCAGCCGCAATATTGAACAGGTCCGGCTGGTCGAACTGCTGCTTCATACGGAGCGCCACGCATATCATGTGGTGCTCCCGAGCCACGTCGCTTCGCTCGGCCACACCACTGCGCCGGAGCCAGGTCGCGTGGTGCTCCTCCCGGTTGCCCGCCGCCGTCGCGCAGGGCAAGAGCGGCCTCCTTCGCGGCCCTCTTGCCCTGCAGCTGCCAACCTGCAGGAATCGTCGCCTCCTTCATCCGCCGGACCGAATCGCGGAAGTCGATGAACCTGCCACCGTCCGGGCCCCTCTCGTCGCCAACGATGCGTGGGTCCCGTCCGTCGCCACCACGAGCTCGAGCGAGGTAGCGGTCGAAGCTCCCGCCCTCCGGCACCTCCGCTGCATGGGGCCAGACGTCGTCGAGCCGCACGAGACCGACATCCCCGCGCCGAACCACGACCTCCTCGTCGGCCAGGGCCTGCTGCGGCACCTCTTCGCCGAAGTGGGACGAGGTCGGATCGCTGACGTACCACTTGTCGCTGGGGAGGCCTGGCACGATCGACGGCAAAGCCGAGGATCCCAGCGAGCGCCCGGGCCTCCTGCAAGTAAGCCTGCTTGTCCTCCGGCGGCACGTCGTCGAAGGCGTAAATGTTCCCCGCGTGCCGCGGGGGAAAGGAGCCCGACCTCCGGAAGGCAAGGACCCTGAAGCCGGACAGGTCGGCGAAGCCCACCTCGCAGTCCGGCGTCAGCCAGATCCACTTCTGAGCGTCGCCCTTCACCAACAGGACCCAGGTGCCACTGGAAGTTCGGGTCCGCATCGAACCGAACGAGGCACTGGAGGAACGGCGTGTCCAACGCTCGCGCCATCAGCCACGAGCAGCACCAGGAGGGCGACGCTTGCTGCCCAAGCTCGCCAGCGTGGCCACCACCACGCCTGGCCCCGAGCCGTCGTCCTCAAGAGCGAGCGCTCGGGCGGGGGGCGCCCGACCGCGCCGCGCGCCCGCCAACCACCTGGCCGACGCGAGCCCCACGCCCACGGCCACGCCCACCACGGCCGCGCCGAGGAGGTCGAGGCCCGTGCAGTGCCCGGGCGGGACCGGGCACGAGGGGCAGGGCTGGCACGGAGTGCCCTGCAAGTGCTCCAGCCCGCAGCGCGCCAGCTGCTCCCGGAGGATGGCCACTGGGCCGTCGGAGGCGCCGGGCCCCTCGAACGCGCAGCGGCAGGTGACCTCCGCGACGGCGTCGCGGCTGCCTCCTGCCCAGCGCTCAGAGAGGGCCCCCAGCACCCATCCGCCGGCCGCGCGCGCCCAACCGGCCATGAACTCTTCACGGCAAAGAGGCTTGAGGATTCAAGGCAGCAGAAGGGGGGGGAATGCACAAGCGTCGCGAGCAAATTATATCTCTCTGTCTATATATATGTAGATATCGAACTATATATGTATATACATCGAATGGTATCGATACACATATATATATGTGTGTATATATATATATATATATATATATATATATATATCGGCATATATATATACATACGTATATCTAGTTATACATATACATATACATATACATATATATATATATATATATATATATATATATATATATATATATAGGTGTGTGTATATATATATATATATATATATGTGTATGTGTGTTTGTAGATCGATATATACATATATGGGAGATCCCGGGCCCCCGGCACCGGGCAGCGACCACCCTTGCATGTGCGTGGTTCCCCCCACTGGCCGTCCCCAGGGGCTCCCAGACGGCCCCCAAACGGACCAGGACAGCTTGGGGACGGGCCCAGGAGGCGCCCAAGATGGAGGGCCCTGAGACGCCCAAAGATCGCTCCAAGACGCCCACGATGGTCCCAAGACGGCTTAATTGGCCTCCAAAACGCGCCAAAAGCCTCCAAGAGACGTCCCAAGAGGGCCCCAAGAGGCAACATTCACTGTTTTTGTTTCGATGGTTTTTGAAGGTTTTTGGGATTCTCGCCTTTTCGGCGACGGGACGCTCCAAGACGGCCCAAGAGGCCCCCAAGATCGCCCCAAGACGGCCTGAGACGCCCCCAAGATGGCCCCAAGACGGCCCAAGACCCAAGACAACCCGAAGACGATCCAAGAGGCCCCCATGACGGCCCAAGAGGCCCCCAAGACGGCCCTCCAAGAAGGGGCCCAGACGCGGGATCCGAACGGACTTTTCGGGCCCTCGGCCCCAAGAGGTCCCAGGAGGCCCCGAGAGGCCCCCAGGAAGCCCCCAGGACGCCCCAAGAGACCCCCAAGAAGCTCCCAAGAGGCCCCCGAGAGGCCGCGACCAAAACACCCAAACAGCCCCCAACAGGCACCGAAACGGGTCTCAAGAGGCTTCGGAACCGCTTCCAGGAGGCCCTCGAGAGACCGACCACGAGATCCGAACGAATTGCGCGTTTCTTCCTTCTCGCTGCGGGCATCCTGGTGCGAGCCGGCGGCCACAGAACGCCCGAACCTTTGGGGGGCCCCCCCGAACCTTGGGGGGTCACAGACCCCTCGGGATTGCCCCGGGCCGCTTCCAAATTGCCAAAGACAAGCCACGCGGGCCGCACAGACGGTCACGAAAGCCTGAGGTGGCCCCGAAGACGCCCAAGAGCGCCTCAAGAGGGCCCGTGAGGGCCCCAAGAGGGCCTTCAAGAGGCACGAATCGGCCCACTTCCCCCGTAAAACGTGCGTTTTCGGCATGCTCGCTGGCTTCATCTTCGCAGTGCCCCAGACGCCCCCGCGGCGCCCCAACGCAGCCCAAGAGAGACCCGAGAGGGCCCCAGACGGCCCAAAAAAGGCGGCCTGCGCGGCTCACGGACCCCCCCAAAACGGCCCAAAAGGCCCCGAAGCCGGCCCAGGAGGCCCCCAAGGCGGCCTCAGGGAGGCCCAAGAGGGCCCCGTTCGAAATCATGTTCCCGGAAGCCTCTCCGGGAACATTGCTTCCGGGCCCCCCAGCGCCCCCTACTGAGCCGCAGGACAGCCTCAGCGAGGCCACAGAGGGCCCGAGATGGCTTCAAGATGGCCGAAGGGGGCCCTTCAAGAGGCAAACATCGGCCCATTTCCATAGTAAAACGTGCGTTTTCGGCAAACTCGTTGGCTTCGTCTTCGCAATGCCCCAGACGCCCCCGCGGTGCCCAAACACAGCCCAAGAGAGACCCAAGAGGGCCCCAGACGGCCCCAAAGGGTCGGCCTGTACGGCTCACGGAACCCCCCAAGACGGCCCAAGAGGCCCCGAAGCCGGCCCAGGAAGTCCCCAAGACGGCCTCAGGGAGGCCCAAGAGGGCTCGTTCGAAATCATGTTCCCGGAAGCCTCTCCGGGAACATGACTTCCGGGCTCCCAGGGCGCCCCACTGAGCCCCAGGGCAGCCTCAGCGAGGCCCAGGAGGGCCCGAGATGGCTTGAAGATGGCCGAAGAGGGCCCCAACAGGGCCTTCAAAAGGCACAAGTCGGCCTATTTCCGCAGTGAAACATACGTTTTCAGCAAACTCGCTGGCTTCGTCTTCGCAGTGCCCCAGACGTTCCCGCGGCGCCCCAAGACAACCCAAGAGATCCAGAAGGGCCCACGTCGGCCCAAAAGGGTCGGCCTGGAATTTGAAGGGGGCTGGAAGGCCCAGCCAACATCGCCTCAGGCGAAGCCAAGCTCCAACTCTGTTGTGCCGTAGTAACGATAGTCCCAGTATGACAGGATATGCCATCTCAAGCAATAGGAAGATCCTTTTGGTCTCGATAGCGATTGTGTGCCTCGCGGTGAGGCACAATCAAATCTGGGCGGCCGGCCGCTTGAGCCAACGCGGCCGCGGGCGCGCGCTCGCTTCCACTCCTTGCGCCCCTCAGCTCGCTTTAGAGTCGGGGGGGGGGGGGGGGGGGCGAAGCGTGGGCCCGACGCCCCCACGCAGCAGGCGCAGCAGCTAACCTACACAAGGACAGGAAAGGAAACGGGCCCACAGGAAAGTGGACCCGCCAGCAAATTGCCTCGCATATGTACGACATACTTATCCGGCGGCGTCAGAACTTGATGTCTGGCCGGCCCGATATGGAGTCTGTCTCTTCAAGTCATGTTTGAAGGTCTGTATGCCTCCCATGACTTGTAGTGGCATTTATCTGTCGATGCCCCCCTTGGTGTGGCCATCCGCAGTCATGTCGCGGGTATCACAACACTGAATGCTGTGCGCGATTCCACGCTCCATCATCTGTCGTATCCAACTGATGTGTCCTAAAAGGGTACACTCAGTCAGCTTCTTCAAGTCTTTGCTTGGCAAGGACTAAAAACAGACTCTGCATCGATGGTCAAAGTGACCTTGATGCTCAGGCCACCCAACCCAAGTATATCTTTCAACTGAGTGGGCGTGAGCGGCCCCGCGTGGAGCTCGTGCAGAGTCACAATCGCGGGATACCAGTCCTCCAAATTATGGGCTGCTGCTAGTGTCTCTGCTGAATTGCTCGAGCGGACCTGCAAGCGGTGAGACTTGCAGCGCGCATCAATCAAGTCAACGTCGTCGTCGGCGTCTCCACTCAGGCGTCGATATCCTGAGTCGCTATGTAAGTCGACCTCGCCCGTGGGGTCCATCGCCTGGTAGACGCTCTTCTTCGGGCAGGCCTGTAACTTTCTGGTGATCGCGTTCAATCGTCGCACTTGAATGTTGGTCGGTTCTTGGACACGCTGTAGAGATACAACGTACACCATTAACCACGCCGGGGTGATCAGTGCGCATGCCAGCGCACCTCTGAGACTGACGATCATGTCTGCCACCATCTTGGTTGCTTGAGCGTCAGCGCCAGCGCCGATTAGTTCGGGATGTTGTATAGGACGGAGCTGTTTGATATATTCATATTGATCCGAAGTGGCATTGCCGTCCTCGTCCTTAGTGTAGCTCACAGCACAATTAGTATACGTGTGCTCGTTGAGCTTACACTTACCGAAAGTATCTTCAAATCATTTGACATGTTTGTCAATGGTGTCCTCAGTGCCGGCCATATTAACGTCATCAACATGCTTGGCCGTGAGCAAGTTATTGCTCGTCTCGAACTCCTCGTCGTAAGGCGTGGGTCGGAGGCCAAATCCTCTGGTGGTTCTTCTGAGCTTAAATGAGAAAACTCGCGGAGCGTCCTCAGTGCCTGCGCCCGGTTTCAAGCGTTGTAGGCAGTGCTTTGACTCGTCGTAGTTCTCGAACCCTGGAAGAGCACGGAGCGCAGTGGCCGATCCAGGCGGCAAAGTAAAGCACGCCGCACGTTCCTTTTCACCAGTAGCCTCAGCAAGTTCCTGACAGGTCAATCCCTTCAGGACGGCAATGCTGATGTCGAGGGAAGCAATGATCCACTGCTTCTTGCGCGCTGCCGCGCTGGCGAGTAACCTCTGGCTCGACCTTCTTGCCGTTCCCGAAAATATTTCTACGTCGAAAGCTTCGAGGTCCATGAAGCCTCGGAGTACCGAGCGTAGTCGGATGGTGCGTTCCATCTCGCCCTTCTCGTTATT